GATTCCAGGATACTCTGCAACTTCTACAGGTGCACGATAGAGAGTATCCTCACTGGCAGCATGACGGCCTGGTACGGCAGCTGCACCGACCTCGATCGTAAGGCTTTACAGAGGGTGGTGAAAACTGCACAGCACATCACCAGGACGGAGCTGCCATCCATGGAGGACCTTTACTCCCAGCGGCTCAGGAAGAAATCACTACGGATTATCAAAGACCCCCATCACCCCAGCCACAAACTGTTCTTTCTGTTGCCGTCTGGCAGACGTTACCGCAGCATCCGGGCAAGGACAAGAAGATTCGGAGACAGTTTCTTCCCGCGGGCAGTGAGACTGTTAAACAATTGAACTGTTGAAACAACATCAAACATTCAACTGCTACTCAGTAGTATGTATCTAATACCTAATATATATATATCATTCCAATAACTTGTATATAGACTCATACTGCACTATTCCACATCATAACTTTATTTCATTTTTATAACTATTATTATTTTTGTATTGCTCTTGCTCTTATTGTTATTATGTTATGTTATTATGTTGCATTGTTGGAGAAGCCTGTGACATAAGATTTTCAACTGCATAATTACTCTGTAGCTATGTCAGATTGACAATAAAGAACCTTGAACCTTGAACAGCAACAACGCATTGTTTAGAGCAGTTATAAGTGTTGAAGCGCTCAAATTCGAAACTGTTTCAACCTGTCACCTGTCAGAATAGAGACGAGGCAGTGCATTGAATCGGGTGATTGGACCGCGAACCAGTGAGTTGATTCATTCAGGAAATGAAGCAGTTGCTGCTTCGGACGTCATATGTCACGTGATTTGAAGCAAGCTTCGAATCACTGCTTCTATGGAATAAGAAGTCCAGGGTTGAAGCTCCGTTCACTAGAGAATTGTACACCCGGAAGTAAGTATTCCCCTTACTGTCGATTGATTTGACAGTGATATCTCCACTACTCATCAACTCAAAAACACCAGATTATCCTTGTTAAAGGTGGGGTAGGTAAGTTTGAGAAACCGGCTCGAGATACACTTTTTGTTATATTCCATGGAATGCTCTTAACATCCCGATAGCAATGAATATCTGAAGTGCTTTGACAAAAAATCTATTAAAAAATGTCATCTGTGGAAGCCGTAGTACTGTAAAAAGCACGACCAATCATTTTAGCCGGCCCGGCTAAAATAACTGGATGGCCTACCTGCCTGTCAGCCTTCCATCTGTGCACAAACTTATCTCGTGCCCTCATTGGTCATGTGCGCGTTCGTGTGTGTTGGAGGAGGGGCTCTATAAGGAAGTGGCAGATTTTCTCCGGTTGTGTATTTTCAAATGCTAGCGATCTCGAGCTGGTTTCTCAAACTTACCTACCCCACCTTTAATTAAACGGCATTGATAGGTTTTAGTGTACAATGCTTTTGTCACGTTTTCCCCTTCAATTCTGAGAAACAAGTCGTTTTCTATGAGTTTTGGATGGCCGAAGACATTACATTACCCACAATCCTCTGTAGCAACCATAGACTGTATATTGCAACAGGAAACAGCTTCGGTTCATGTTCATTTACAAACTCTTCAACTACAACCGTAGTTATATTTAAAAACATGTTAGAAGGCCTCACAAAATACTTTAATGTAAATTAAAATGTAAATGTGAAGGAATGTGTGCATAACAAAATACATCCTTCATAAACGAAACCGGAAACAGACGTATAGGCAAAATCCTCAGCTCGATGATTGGATGGTTTAGCCGCAATGCACGCTGGGATTTGGTGTTTATGCGATGTGAAATCCGAAAACATTTAAAAATAAATAAAATAATACATTATTCCGAGTGTGCTTGCTTTTCTCTTTGAAAGTCATCACATTACGGCATTGTAATACACGTTTCGGCTGCATTAAATATGACATATCTGCCGTAGTTAACTCTGCCCTGATGAGAAGACTTCTAGACAAACAGGAACTGTCGCCAAAACTGAAAACTTGACGTGGATCTTAAATATATCAGCAATTAAACAACATCTTACATTTCTTTTCACACAATACGTCTCCTTGCAGTATCAACACTAATTCGGCTGACTTTTATATTTGATCCAATTGGTAGATAGGCTGTATTTACACCATAACGGTGCACAGCTGATAGAAAGGGACACCTACTGGTTAAAGCACGTTATTGCATTTTATTATTTTTATTATTGAGGGGAAGGAGTTTGTGTCGCAGTCAATAATATCAGCAGAGCAGGGGGGAAAGTTTATTTGGAGACAATGACAAATCTTGGTCCTTAGATTGTGACTAAAACAGTTATTCATTTCGTTACAACAGTATCATCACTCCCGTCTCAGGTCCTCTGTCCTCCAGAGTAGGAGTGTACCTGGATCACAGAGCAGGTATTCTGTCCTTCTACAGCGTCTCTGAAACCATGACTCTCCTCCACAGAGTCCAGACCACATTCACTCAGCCGCTACATGCTGGAGTTTGTCTTTATGGTTATTATGGAGCCACTGCTGAGTTTTGTAAACTCAAATAGCCTGAAGTCATTGGAGGAACTCTTCTACTTCTTAAAGTCACCGTGTGTCCATCAGAGCTGATTGTTCATGTCTTCACTGTGCAGAGATCAGCTGTCAATCAAACATGATGGGATGTGCTTCAACATCTTCTCATGAGTTGTTCTGTAGATGTTGGACTTTCTTCCGGCTCCTTCCTGTGTCTGTGTAGCCATGGAGGCTGTCACTGCTCAGGAGGATCCTTGTTCACCTGAACTGATATGTAAACTTTGCTCTAAATATGTGTTGGATATTTCTTTTGATTCATGTCGTTGTTTCTCTTGTAATGCACGAGTCTTCAGAGAGAAAGCAGCAGAGCTTCTTTTATTGTACACATTTTATTCTGCCCACTTTCTAAAACAACAGAGACATTTATAATCACATGTATTATGTTGACAGATTAAATGTTATTGTTGCCCAAATTAACTAACGATGAGTTCCCAGATGGTTATAACACTTATTTCATCATAAATTGTTTATTTTAAATGATATTACTTACTGTCATGATCATAATCAATAAGTACATCATTTATTATTCTGCTGTAAATAGCTTAGAGTCTTTGCTTGGGAAATACATTGTATAATATTACAGTTATTGTTTTGCAGACTAATTGTTGTTGTTGTTGTCCAAATAGAAAGTGGGTACTCTGATGTTTTATAGAACATAACTTATCATGATAATAATCAATAAGGAAATCATGTGTGATTCTGTTTGAAATAGCTGAGATGAAACACATTCATGGTGTGGATAAAGTGAAACTGATCATGAAATCATTGAACAGACTTTACTGATGGGATGTGTGATCAAATGAAATGTTTGGATCATTAATAAAGGTTTGTCTTTCAAAAACAAAAACAGGATGTTCTTCTTGTTTTATGTCCATATACTATTATGCATTTCCTAGTTGTATCTTGTGCCTCTACTGTGACATGTTTCACAAAACACGTTACTTACAGATAAACAAATATAGCTGACAGCGTTAAAAGATAACTAGAATGTCAGGAGTCCAATAGAGGCGTTTCAGGTTCGGCTCTGTTGTGATTGGTCAACTTCTTAGAGATGTCCCGCCCCTTAACCTATCACGTAGACATGTGTTGGAGCGCTAGCCAATAGAAGTGCAAGTGTTACATAGTGTAAATATCTTAAGGAAGTAAACAAAGGAGTCCAATGGAGGCGTTTCAGGCAGGGTTGGTGTGTGTGGGAGAGAAACTCCCAGGAGGGAACACAGGGATTTTAGCCTCTGCAGACCATTTACATGCACTAAAACCTATATAACACACTACAGGAAAGGGAACACCCCAAAAAGAATAATAGGGCCTCTTTAAGATAATCACATGTTCTTTTAGATTGCATTGTAGTGGTAGCAGCAGATGAATACTGGTTTAGAGAACACTGTGGTGTCTCCACACACACACACACACACACACACACACACACACACACACACACACACACACACACACACACACACACACACACACACACACACACACACACACACACACACACACACACACACACACACACACACACACACACACACACACACACACACACACACTGATGAGCAGCTGCTCCAGACACTACAGGTACACACACACACACACACAGGTAACTACTGTCAGTGTGTAGATGTGAAAGGCAGACGGCTCCCTCTGGTGGAGACTCTGTGTTACTGCACTTAGTACAGATCAATATAATAATACAACATATTAAGTTGTTAAAATTAGCACTATATATATTATTATACATATATATTATTATAAATAATAAGTTATTAGTATAAAGTATAATAATATTAACAATATTTCCTTAGTTGTATATTAATACAAAATAAAAATAAACAATTAAATTAAATGGAAAATAAAAAAGGACAAAATACAAATAAATAATAACAAAATGAAATGGAGCCAGTGTTTGGTTTGAACATGCTTTTATTAGTAGTAGAAATGGTTTGCATTAATATAAGAGTAAAAGAGAGATGACATCATAACGCAGACAGAGAGGAGGACCTATTGATCTGTTATCTATTAGTGATCAATCATCTACCTGCACTAAGTTCCCTCACGAGGACATCTGGTCTGAGTATTTTAATACTTTTTCATTCATTGTAATCTACTTAAGGCAAGTCTGTATTTGTTGTATTTAACAGTAATTAGTTTATTTATACTGTAGGACATGTTGTCTCTAAAACACAGAAGAATTTGGGTTAAAAAAATGTATTATTATTTATTTCCAATGTTTTCATCAGTATTATATTTATCATTTATACTTAAAGGATACTGAGATCTTTAATGTTGAATAATGTTAAAACATAATCTCCCTCTCTCTCCCTCTCTCTCCCTCTATCTCCCTCTATCTCCCCCTATCTCCCCCTATCTCCCCCTATCTCCCTCTATCTCCCTCTATCTCCCTCTATCTCCCTCTATCTCCCTCTATCTCCCCCTATCTCCCCCTATCTCCCTCTATCTCCCTCTATCTCCCTCTATCGGCAGGAATCTGTCATTTCAATGAAATTAAAGCAGAAATTAAATCATCTGAGCTGCAGGAAGCTCCGCCCACTCGGTTTAAAGCTGCTGTGATTGGTGGAGGCGTGAATAGGGGCGGGGTCACATCTCTGTGGACCAATCATCTCAGGCGCCGATGACGAAATGAGTCACGCCCCAAATCTGAGAAACAAACCAGTGATTAATAATAATAATAATAATAATAATAATAATAATAATAATAATAATAATAATAATAATAATAATAATAATAATAATAAATAAAAGCAGGGATAAAATATATTATAATAGTAAAAAAATGATAATAAAAAAACTAAACTAAATTGATTTACTAAATGCAGAAAATAAATCCTACAAAATAATAATGAATTAAATAACTGATATAAAGATAGGTACAGGGGAGGGTCACCTGAGGCCTGTACTCTGAAGCCGGTTCAACAGACCCTGATCTCCGAGTTATCTGAACCCTAACAAAGAGATCTCTCTAAGCGGTCCTACCACGCTGGTTATCAACTCGGTAACTCAAGCCAGGGTTTCTCTGTCCGGCTGAGAGCCAATCACGTGAAAGGGGCGGGGTTAGCAACATTTGACCAATCACAAACATGGACAAGCGCACTGACAGCGCAGCGTCATACTTCCTGAATGAAAAGTAAACTATAATTAGACAAATATGAAGACGTTAAACTTTAAACATCTATGACTTAAACACTTTATCCAGGATGAAAGCCACATAGTTGCAGCTGCAAGGTGAATACAGCTGGTGAAAGAAAAAGTGTTTGAATGCGTACATTAACAGGTTTATGATATCACTGCCCCGTCTAAGACACGAGTGGATCACATTTGGGTAATCCAGCTAACTCAAACAAATCCAGGGTATGTTGAACTGGCTTCGTAGTACAGGCCTCACTACAGGTGACTCCAGGTGACTCCAGGTGACTCCAGGTGACTACAGGTGACTACAGGTGACTCCAGAGGCCTGTACTACGAAGCTGGTTCAACCTAACCTGGATATGTTGGAGTTAGCCGGTTGGCCTAAGCCAAAACATACGCGCTGGCGCTAAACTGTACTACGACGCTGGATATCAAGTGGATCGCTCAAGCCGCCGTGTCCTATCTAGTTAGGTGCGCGTTCACATGAAAGGGGTGGTATTTGGAGCATTCGACCAATCTCAAACACGGAGAAGCGTACTGACAGCGCAGCGTCATACTTCCTGAATGAAAAGTGAACTTTAATATTAGTCAAATATGAAGAAGTTAAACTTTAAACATCCATGACTTAAACACTTTACCCAGGATAAAAGCCACATAGCTGCACCTGCAAGGTGAATACAGCTGGTAAAAGAAAAAGTGTTTGAATGCGTACATTAACAGGTTTATGAAATCACTGCCCCGTCCAAGACACGAGTGGATCTGACTTTAATTAGGAGAATTTGACTCGAGTGTTTCGTCAACTTAATGTGTTGCTTAAAATAATACTTCTGCATACAGTATGTGACACTGTGAGTGTTGCACGGCCAGATACGGCTCAAGAAGCTGACTCAAATAAGGAAATATATGATACATTATGATGTGATATGATATGAATGATAATGGGACACATCTACGTCTGCACTCACAGTGCCGCGGACTGTACTTAATGTTACTCTGATCCGGTTACTTATGTCGTGGCAGATATTTAAGTAAGCTTTCTTAACGCTAATGTTATAATAGTCAGACTGCTCTGAAGATGGGAGGGGATATTCTATTAATTTTCACGTTCACACAGTCAGTTGATTTTGGCCGGCAGTCTTTCCTGCAACGGCAGTTTTTCTGTATTTCCTCTATCCTGTAATATGAATTGATCGCTTTAAACTCCGCACACGGAGCTCTGATTGGTCAGCAGGCAGTGCTTTCACTGAGTTGATCTCTTAGCCTGCCACCTAACCTGCTCCGGAGCAGGTTTGCCGTTCAGCATAAGTTACCATGGAAATCTAGCCTGCTAAAAAGAGAACCAGCGTCGTAGGACCGGAAAGCCCGAGATTTCCCTGAATTTAGCCGGCTAAGCGAAAATCCAGCTTCGTAGTACAGGCCTCAGGTGTGTCCAGGTGAGCTTACCTGACGGAGGTTGCTGCAGTCCATCACAGCCACCAGCGCTCTTGGTCCCGCCAGACGAGGAAAGAAGGAATCCTTCCAGGTGATCACTGCCCCCGGTTCAATGGAGCTGACACAGGAAATAACAATATATAACAATAAATAACAATATATAACAATACATAATAAATTAAATAAATAATATTAATATTATTAATAATAACATAACAAAGTGAAAAAATACTTTATAAAAATAGTAAAATAAGGAAAAAAACATACAAATAAAATAATAATAAATAAATACAAATAAAAAATGATAATATTAATAATATAAAATAATTAATACAATTAATAAATAGTATAAATATAAAGTGAATAATAAACACACCATAAGAAATGTGTGTGTGTCTCTCTGTATGTGTGTGTGTGTGTGTGTGTGTGTGTGTGTGTGTGTGTGTGTGTGTGTGTGTGTGTGTGTGTGTGTGTGTGTGTGTGTGTGTGTGTGTGTGTGTGCGTGTGTGTGTGTGTACCTGTAGTGTCTGGAGCGGCTGCTCATCAGTCCTGGTCCCTCCATGCTCAGCTGGACGTTCCTCAGAGGGAAATTGAAGGAGTTTGTGAACGAGACGGTGACGAACATCTCCTGATTCACCTGAGGAGCCCCGCTCACCTGAGGAACATCAGATATATAACATTTAATATATAAAATATATTAATATTTAAGAGTCTAAAGAGCACCTGAGGAGCCCCGCTCACCTGAGAGATACATATTATAATATATATTAATATTTAAGGGTTTCAGAGAGCATGATCCTGCAGTAAAAAGGGTGGACATTTGAAATGAAATAAAATAAATAAATAATAATATGTTTTATAGAAAATCCATACAAAAATAAATAATATGCAGAAAGTCCATGAAATAATTATATATATATATATATATCATAAAAAATATACAAATAGAAGAATAACAATAAAATAAATATGTAATATAAATTAGATGATGTGTTATATACATAATGAGAAATACATGACAAACTAACACAAATAATATAAATATGTGTGTGTGTGTGTGTGACGTGTGTGTGATTGTGTGTGTGTGTGTGTGTGTGTGTGTGTGACGTGTGTGTGATGTGTGTGTGTGTGTGTGTGTGTGTGTGTGTGTGTGTGTGTGTGTGACGTGTGTGTATGTGACGTGTGTGTGACATGTGTGTGTGTGTGTGACGTGTGTGACGTGTGTTTGTGTGTGTGTGTGTGTGTGAGTGTGTGTGTGACGTGTGTGACGTGTGTGTGTGTGTGACGTGTGTGCCGTGTGTGTGTGACGTGTGTGTGTGACATGTGTGTGTGTGTGTGTGTGTGTGTGTGTGTGTGTGTGTGTGTGTTACCATCAGAGTGAGTTCGGGGGTCTTCAGGTTCACCAGCTTCATGGTGGTCACTGATTGGCCGTCAGACTGACCAGTCACCATGAAGTACAAGGCGAGCTGCGAGCCCAGGAAGGGGATGTATTCCTCCGCCGCTACCGTGACAACCTCAGTCACACCTGCACAGGTAATATATAATATAACATTTCAATTCATTCCTCATCTGTGTGTGAGCTCTTTAAATTACAAACAATAAACACACTGTCTTGATAACTGGACTTAAATCACTCTGTACATTTTACATTCATAGCAATCTAATATTTAATATTCCATTCCTCACATACTTATATACTTATATATTGTAGTCTTTTCATGTCTCTAATGATCAATGCCTTGTCTTCTCATGCTGCTGCAACGCAAACCTTTCTGATAAAGTACTTCTTATCTTATCTTATATAAATACAGGTGAGTGCTGCTCCCCCTGGTGGTCTCTGTGTGTGTGTGTGTGTGTGTGTGTGTGTGTGTGTGTGTGTGTGTGTGTGTGTGTGTGTGTGTGTGTGTGTGTGGTGTGTGTGTGTGTGTGTGTGTGCGTGTGTGCGTGAGGAGGCTCACTCTGATTGGCCGGCACGGTGACACTGAAGCTGCGGTCTCTCAGCCGATGGGCTCTGACTCCGGTGTAGTAAACGATGGCTCCGGCCAGCTGAGCCTGGATCACTCTGGGGGCGTCGTCCTGGTTCTGGAACACCACCTGGAGAACCACGTTCTCACCCAGGTACACCTGGAGGACAGGTAACACAGGTACACACAGTACTCAGTACACCTGTATACTACTGTATACTACTGTATACCACCTTCTGACCCAGGTGCACCTGGAGGACAGGTAACACAGTACTCAGTACACCTGTATAGCAGCAGGTGTGTTACCTGGTCAGCGGTGATGGTCACAACCAGAGGGATCTCAGGTACGTCAGAGTGGTCTCTCACACAACCGTACTCCTCGGCCCGGGTCATCGTCTGCTCGTCCTTCGCAGAACCTGAGGAACAATACAGGTGTGTTACCTTCAGGGTACAGGTGTGTGTGTGTGTGTGTGTGTGTGTGTGTGTGTGTGTGTGTGTGTGTGTGTGTGTGTGTGTGTGTGTGTGTGTGTGTGTGTGTGTGTGTGTGTGTGTGTGTGTGTGTGTGTGTGTGTGTGTGTGTGTGTACCTTCAGGGTACTTGTAGGTGTGTGTGATGTCATAGGGTCTGCTGCTCCCCACACTCTTGGTGCAGATGTTCCTCCCGACGTAGGTCTTCTCCACTCTGTAGGGGGTCAGAGAGCCGTACTTGTCCCTCTTATGGAACACCACGTCACTGTTCACCTGAGGAACACACACACACACACACACTGTTCACCTGAGGAACACACACACACACACACACACACACACTGTTCACCTGAGGAACACACACACACACACACACACTGTTCACCTGAGGAACACACACACACACACACACACACACACATACACATACACATACACACACACACACACACACACACACACACACACTGTTCACCTGAGGGACACACACACACTGTTAACCTGAGGGACACACACACACTGTTCACCTGAGGGACACACACACACACACACTGTTCACCTGAGGGACACACACACACTGTTCACCTGAGGGACACACACACACACACACTGTTCACCTGAGACACACACACACACACTGTTCACCTGAGGGACACACACACACTGTTCACCTGAGGGACACACACACACTGTTCACCTGAGACACACACACACACACTGTTCACCTGAGGGACACACACACACTGTTCACCTGAGGGACACACACACACTGTTCACCTGAGGGACACACACACACTGTTCACCTGAGGGACACACACACACTGTTCACCTGAGGGACACACACACTGTTCACCTGAGGGACACACACACACTGTTCACCTGAGGAACACACACACACTGTTCACCTGAGGAACACACACACACAATAAAGTTGAGACTAAAGTAGACTGTTTGACTTTGAGAAGAGAGACCTCAGCGAAGCAGAAGGCCACGTCGTAAGGGTGGCAGAGGAGACCCTCTTTAATGGCTGCTACTGGAGCGGGACCACAGCGATAATGACCTGAGGACACACACACACACACACACACACACAATATATAAATTATAATTATATATATACATTTATATAATAAAATACTAAAATACAAAATAGTGCAAGAAGTCTATATACATGTAGCCGAGCCCAAACATCTGTCAGCTCAGTGTGTGTGTGTGTGTGTGTGTGTGTGTGTGTGTGTGTGTGTGTGTGTGTGTGTGTGTGTGTGTGTGTGTGTGTGTGTGTGTGTGTGTGTGTGTGTGTGTGTGTGTGTGTGTGTGTGTGTGCGTCTCACCGTCGCTGGTCTCCTGAGGCGTGGAGTCGACCACCTGCCAGCCTCCGAGGCCGGGGGGGAGGTCTAGGCGGGTCATGAAGACCTCGTTCCAGCAGTGGTAGTTCCTGGAGAGCAGGGGACAGGTGAGTGTTGTATCATTTTGTAGTTCGTGTGTGTCTTTTTGTAGTTAAATTGTGTCTGTTTGTAGTTCTTTTGTGTCTGTTTGTAGTTCTCTTGTGTCTGTTTGTAGTTATTTGGTGTCTGTTTGTAGTTCCTTTGTGTCTGTTTGTAGTTCTTTGGTGTCTGTTTGTAATTATTTTGTGTCTGCTTGTAATTATTTTGTGTCTGTTTGTAGTTCTTGTGAATCTGTTTGTAGTTCTTTGGTGTCTGTTTGTAATTATTTTGTGTCTGTTTGTAGTTCTCTTGTGTCTGTTTGTAGTTCTTTGGTATCTGTATGTAGTTCTTTGGTATCTGTATGTAGTTCTTTTGTGTCTGTTTGTAATTGCTTTGTGTCTGTCTGTAGTTCTTGTGAATCTGTTTGTAGTTATTTTGTGTCTGTTTGTAGTTCTTTTGTGTCTGTTTGTAGTTCTTTTGTGTCTGTTTGTAGTTCTTTTGTGTCTGTTTGTAGTTCTTTGGTGTCTGTTTGTAGTTCTTTTGTGTCTGTTTGTAGTTCT